CCAAAATAGCTCGTGTATCATTAGCAGAACCAGAACTCAGCAGGTCCACGTCCAGAACCATGTGATGAGGCTGAAAGCTCTGGAAAAAGCCTGTAAGTGTGCAGCACAACATCCCCGGACTGTCAGAGGGGATTTCTCTTAATGTTCCTCTGGACTGTTCTGTTGGTTACTGTTTTTAATGCAACGGTTGCCAAAATAGGGGTCGGGACACCCTGGGAGGGTCGCCAGATGTTTTCTAGGAGTCAGATATTCCAAAACTGGCTCCTCTAGTCCACACCGAACGCTCTAAAACAACACTGTAGGGATGTTCTAGTGTTGTCATTAGATGCCGTTACTTTGGGGGTTGTTTGGTTCTAATCCACTTATTTATTGCCCAGAAATGACTTCATAAACTTCCATGCGTACACGTCGTGGAGCACCTCGGCATCTGAGACGCAGATTCCCACAGCTGGCAGGTGTCTGCTTCACTAAGAGGCTGTGGCTAACCGAGGCCTCGTGCAAAGCCTGAGCTTGACAGCAACATCCGATCACGTAAGCCCCCCAAGAAGCCCTCGCGAACGCACGATCTCAGGAAGACGTGAAAGGTCAGAGGTTAACCACCGACCCAGCTGCAGCAGTCGCAGGCCGTCCCGTCCAGGAAATAGACGGCGTCGCGCTGGCTGCTATGACTGACCACAACGGTTCCTCCGCTGGTTCCGTTTTCACTGTGACTTGCAGGTGTGAACAGAAAGTGACGGCGAGCGGGTTTATCTTAAATCACCTCGTTTCCACTTCAGCGTTCAAGTCCACAACTAAGAACCAGGCTGAAGGAAAACCATTACAGAACATTAAAGCAACGATGATGAAACTGGAACCTGGACTTACTCCTGGAAACACATTTTGAACCATACACTAGAAACGCATTGATTCCTGCTGATACATCTTGAGTTGGGTAGGTTGTAGGAAATAGCCACGGCCTCATAATCCAACACCAACAGTGGCAAAAGCTTTGTTTTAACTTCCATATGAGATGGATTTCCCTTTTTTTCTTGTTATCTGTGACCTTTAAAAACAGATTTTCCTACAGTGAGACATGTGCCATGTTAGCAGCTTTGC